TTTATATATATAAAAAAGAAATAAACTAAAGATTACAAACAAAACCGGAAAAGGAAACTAAAACCGCTGAAGAAGAAGAAGAAAAAAAGAAAACAACGAAGAAGACTTTCGGCCAATCAAAGAGATGCAAACTGCCGGTGGTTAAAAATCGCTGTCCTCAGGTTTGTCACTTAAAAATTAACTTTTTAAAAACATTATTGGACTTTATCGCTTTCATTATATCATAAACATAAACTAAATAAACCGTCAAACCTGTTAGGACGACTTGCGAAAAGGCTTTTTTTTAAATAGTTTTTGTGGTCCGGTGTAAACGCTGTTAGCAGCTAGCTTGTTAGCATACACCCATAGCATAACTAAGTGTAACTTCCTGAGACAAACACCTGAGTGTTTCTAATATTACAGTCTTTTCCCGGTTTGTTAATAACATGAGCAGTAGAATAGCTCATGGGCTGTGCAGCCATCACCCTGCTSGCTCGTTGTCCTGCAGTTTGATTGCATAATTGTAGCCACCAGCGTTGTGTGTCAGCCACCATCATTGCTTATTAAAGTTCTCCCTTCAGCTACTCTGCCTTGTTGTACAGTAGCTGTCTGTTCTGCAGCAGCTCTCTCTGCTGTTTCTGGGATTATTGACGGTTTTTAAAGCTGAAAAAAAAAAAAAAAAACTCCGATATTCGCTTCTGTTTTACCACGGCTGGGAGAGGACACTGATTGCAGGTATTTTATCGCGGGAGAGTGATGATGCTGTAAAGCTTAGCTTGTGTTTTGAAATGTGTGTTTTGGCAGRAAGATGAGTGCTAGGAGAAGAGGTGGAAAACCAAACAGAGGAGGGGGCAGATTTAACAAACCAAAAGGAGGAGGAGGAGGAGGTGGTGGTGGTGGTGGAAGTCGGAAAGGAGGAGCAGGCTGCTTTGATTACGATGATGATGAGTTCACCCTTGATTTTGGACCTTCSCGTTCCAGCAGGTATGAATGCGTTAAGAGATGAAGAGAAGCGCACATTTTCTGCTGTTTGTCGTATTCCTACTTTTGTTTTGACTCTGCAGAGCCAGTAAGGGACGAGGGAAAGATCATGGACGAGACAGAGGACGTAATGATCGAGACGGAAGGCGTTTCGAAACTGGCAGGAAGCCTCTCCCAGTGTCCCTGGCGAGCACCAGGGTCCACACGAAGTCGAATGATGTCATCAGGTCAGAGACTAGCGTCATGCCCTTGCAGAGGATCTTCATGACCCATGAGAACCAGGAACAGCTCAAGGAGCTACTACGGGAACTACAGACGCAGGATTTCGATGAGCCATACGAGTGAGTAATGATCCACATGTGAATTTATTCAGAAGGGATAAATGGAAACGTGTTTTTTGCCTCTCTTTATTAGGGAATCTGGCTCGGATTATTCAGTGGAAGAGGAGGATTTTGATGAACTGGATCACCGTGAGGAAGGCCAGTTTTGGGCTACCAACGACGAGCCTGTGGAGAGAGCAGAGAGCCCCACCTACTCGAAGGATTCTGATGAAGAGCGCCCCACTCCTGAACCTGTTATTTCTTTATTTGCCGTTGGAAAACTCTGCAGGTGATCATCATATCTGAAAGTCCATATCAGGGCTATTCAACTAAACTGCTCTGGGGGGCCACAGTTACTGCAGGCCAACAGCTCAGGGGCCAAACATCTAGCAATTAAAGTCATTATGTAATTAAACCAAGTATTACAAAGATCTGTTACCTTTTGAACTAATTTATTTTGCTGCATTTAATCATGAGTACAACATACAGAACCCTGTGTAATAACAGTAGTGATAATAAAACAACAAAAACAAAAATAACATTATTCCTCTTAATTACCACAAATAATATTTTGACATCTCTGACTTGCCAAATATTTAAACCAATTTTATTTTCACTTTCATCATTTTATCTTGGATGTTCATTGAAATGGTTTTAAACCAGCTTCTAGCCAAGATTCTGATGTTTTTGTAGATTCCAAACATGTTTAACTAAAAGAACTTGTAGGAATTATAGAAAACCTGGGGTTTGGGCTTAAGAGATGAATGAACCAGTTGACGGGCTGAACTTTGGTTACTCAGGCCAGATGTTGAATAGCCCTGGTCTATATATGTGACCCATCATATCAAAATGAAGATTAAGTCAAATTTGGTCAAAATGACTTAATTACATTTTCAAATTATTGGCTTTAAAAGCTACATTTTAATACCTGGATCATTCTGATAGTGTAGTGAGGGTCTGCTGGGAACGTCTGGCGGAGTCCCCTGTGAGACGGAGCTTCAACTCCCATCTCCGGC